ACAGGTGTAATTGGAAGTAGCCTTAGTCACCAGTATAAAATAAAGGTTTAACTGGAAGTAGCCTTAATCACCAGTATAAAATAAAGGTGTAACTGGAAGTAGCCTTTATTTTATACTGGTGACTAAAGGTTTAACTGGAAGTAGCCTTAATCACCAGTATAAAATAAAGGTGTAACTGGAAGTAGCTTTAGTCACCAGTATAAAATACAGGTGTAATTGGAAGTAGCCTTAGTCACCAGTATAAAATAAAGGTGTAACTGGAAGTAGCCTTAGTCACCAGTATAAAATAAAGGTTTAACTGGAAGTAGCCTTAGTCACCAGTATAAAATAAAGTTATGTATTTTATTTTCATATACTTTACTGGATTTATTATAACAATTTCAAAAGTAAATGCATTTTAACCCAAGGTTTAGAAATTAATTATAAATACTGAAGTCAATTTTTTAATCCCATAATATCAAAAGCAAACTTCACCCAAGTGCAGGAGTTTGTCAAATACTGTTTTGAAGAGATTTCTTTCAGTATTACTCTTTACCTACTTATGCTGTACAAAATTACAGGGTAATCACATGTAAAATTTAAGACCAAACTAAACATCAAAAGTCATGCTGTCATTGCTCATGTTATAGAAACCATGCAATAGAAAAAGCAACAAAATTTGCAGGGTTTTATGAAAAATAATCTTGTATATATATTGCGATTGGTGGTGTCTGTCTGAGCGTTAATCTGTCTCCTGCTTACAGTAGCCACTTCCCACTGTGTGTTTAAAAATCTGCACACACACAGGCAAAGCTCAACATTCACTTTTGAAATGACAGGAGAACAGACATGAATAATGTTGATGCCAAATTTTATTTCACAAGCAGGATATTCTACACTAAACTGTTAGGAATTAATCACACTATCATTCACATTTCAAAATGTGACATAATTTAAAGAATAAAAATGTAAATTTACTGAATGTTATTGTTGAACAGCTCCTAACATGACCGAAATGCTCAACAACTACTTTTTTGCAGTGGGCAATATAAGTAGCTCTGAGTGAAACAAAGAGTACAACATAATTAACTTTTTTAAAATTCCATAAAATAATTTAAATGGATAGATTAACTTAAACTTTTCCTGTCACTGGGGATGGGTACTTTTGTTTCTAAAGAATAGTACTATATGTGCACTGAAAGTTTTGACAGTATCAGGTTCTACTATGGTGTTCCTTCTCTTTTTCACTAACCACTTAAATTTCTCAGTTCATTTTCTTTAGAATGCTTTTAATAAAGGATACAAAAAGTCTCGTATATAGGTGAAACCTTTAACAAGGACATAAACTGTTAAGTTAAAGATAAGATTACATAGCTATATTACAAATATATTCAAGATCTTCCATAACAATCATACAGAGTGTAATATTAAAGACAAATGTAAAAGAAAATGTTTTTGTCACATTCAGCATATTTTAATAGTTTCTTGTAAGAAATTATTTAAAAGGGAAAAGTATTACAAAAAATTTCAAATTTGGTAAATCAATCAATATTCTCACTAGATGGCGTTATCTATACAAGATTTCCAGTGGCATTATGTGACAGTAATAGAATATATGTTACACAGTTAGGTGGAATGTTTCACAGAAATAAAATAAATTACATAATAGCATGCATTATACTACATAAATGATTTGAGGATACAAGCAAAAGAATAATTAATCACATTTGACAAAGCATGGGCTTAACCTGGGTCTTCTTAAATATATATATATATATATATACACGCACATGATGTACTTATGACAAGAACTTGATTATGAATATGCTATTTTTAATTAAATATTCATCGAAGTTTTGAAGATAAATTGGAAGCAATCTACTCATTACATAATTGAAGTTAGTGTTGTCACAATTACACACACACACACATATATATATATGCAAGTCCCTTTTTTAAAACCTATTTTACACCTTATTATACAAGGTAGACATATTGCCATTTGAAACGTTTAGGTTAAGTACAGTATTGAGCTGGCTAGAAGTATATAGGTGAGGTGTAAACAAATAGCCACAGCCTTCTGAGGTGTATTTAGTTGCGTTAGTGTAAAATAAATTATGAAGGATTTATCTTGGCCAGAACATGATTTTTACAATATGGTGTTTGCCTGATCAGTATGGTGTAGAATAATATGGTGTTTGCCATACTGGCTGTTCAGTATGTTTGAATACATTACAGTTGTGTTAAGGATATTGTTTTTGCTTTTAACCTGCAAGTATAATGGTGGCTTACAGAATTAATGTTTATTTGTGGTCCAAAAGAGGGCTTTGTTTGCCCCCCCCCCCCTCGGAACCCTATACATCCTGGCAAAACCACTGCAAATGAAAGTACACATTGTTTGTATAATACAATACTTTCATATAACATTTATAATAAATAAACTGTTGTGACTTTTTCCATTAAGTGTAAAGTTTCAACATTAAAAGTGATTCTAAACAATAAATCATGCAGTTCAAATTGAATACTATATTTAGGAACTTTAAAAGAATATTTATGAAAACAGAATACTAAGGTAAATCACTTGTGTGCACTGCCACTACTCAGGTAAGTCACATAATGTAAATAAAATTTCTTTTTCAATCTGGTTTTACTGTTGATCACAATTTTGTTTTTTTCTGAAAGACCTTTCATATAAATAAATAATGAATACAAGATGTTACACCTAGTATTTTGGTATATCCAAATACGTTTGAAAATATCTTATTCTAAGTAATCAAATTTTAGACTTCAAACTATCCTAGAGAAAAATACCTATCTATAGATAACAAAAGTTAACATTTTCCCAAATTGAAAATGTATTTCCAATAATACTTACTTCCGCTGACACTTGTGGCTATTACTCAACCAGAGTTTCTTCTTCACCCATTTAAGTGTTAGTCTGATTTTTTTCTCATTATTCCAGTCTTTTATACCCCACTCAATTGCCCTAGTGATACTCCTCACCTACATAAATGCGGCCTCTATAATATAAGCACCTCATTCAGATAATTTTATCACTTTTTCGAGAATGATATATTACTTGTGATAACCTTCATTATTCATTAGATTGTTTTTTGAACTCGGTGACTAAGAAGAGAATTTTCCCTCTTAGCTCTGGTGTATTGCCATGCAGTATATCAATATCAATCGGTGAAACACTGTTTACTTCACGGTACCACAGGGGACCTTGCCACGCGATGTCTACCACGCTCTGCATGAGCAGTTGGGACAAGGCTGGGTGGAATGTCTGCAACCACTCGGAGGTGGTCACGTTTGTTGTACGTTCATTTCAGTGGCGTGCAAAAATAAGGCAATGGGGGTCAGAGGAGTAACAGTAGATTACAAGTTTTATTCCTTACAGCCAACAGGGAATAACATTAAATGGATTCATGTACGGAACCTGCCACATGAGGTTCCTAACGAGTACTTTGGTTCAGCTCTACAAGAGTTTGGTAAAGTTCTGGCCATAGTTAGAGAGACCTATTCTGATGTTGGGATATGTACAGGTTCATGTAGAGTAAAACTGGATATGACATGGTCAGTACCTAACTTTGTCCAGGTCGATCAGTTCCGGGTTATGATTAATTGCCCGGGTATGGTGAAATTGAGCCCGTTGTAAGAGGACAGGCCATTTTGCCCATAGTTGTACGGCAACTATCTGTAACCGTTGTGGTGATTCGGGCCATCATCTAGCTATCACAACT